ATGAACACACCAAAAATAAGAGATTTCACCGAAGTTTCAAAACCAAGCTTGGTGGAATCAAGGGCTTGGGGCAAAAATTTGAGTATTGAGGGCTTCTACCAAGTGGGTTTACCCTTCAAGAGGTAGGGTTCCTTCCTACTTAGGTTTATTTAACAACCTAGGGTGTAGTATGTAATAGGTATGTTGATAGAAAGATTATATTATTACCTATGTTGTGGAAATGGATCAAATGGGTATGGAAATTGGATAGAATGAATTTTACTTTGAATTGAGTTGGTAATTTGACTCAATGTGATCCATGCAAATGGGTGCTATGTGGGCATATTAAGTGTTTAAATTATGCCTTGGTGGATGAAGTGTGTTATTGGCATATATTATGTGATAACATGCTTGTGAATGATTGTTGACTATGAAAATGTTTATGTATGCTCATAGATATATCGACATTGTGATGGAATTGGTAATTTTATGTTTTGAGATATAAATTGCCATGAAATATGTGTAAATGGGGTTAAATTTTGCTTATGTGACATTCTTTACATTTGGGCATGGCATTGAAGTAGCAATGATGCATTACATTGCATTTACACGGGGAAAACGTATCCATAGCCATGAGTGTGGGTGTGTGTGTGCATGGTTAACATCAAACACTAGATAGGTGAATGATGGTGGACTCGGGATAGTTGGATCAAATTTTTGACTGAGTCACACGGTGTTATGGATAATGAATTAGGTCGAGGTAGCAAGAAAGGCTAGACTATCCCTTGGGTGAGAGACCCGTTGATTGGATACGCACTCCGTTGGTATAAGAGCCCATAAAGTGTGTCGATATACGTGGAACTGTTGGTGGAAGTCCATAAATTCTGTGTCGGTTGGGTGTCATTGGTGTAAGTCCATAAATACCCACCCCAAAGAAAGACCCAAAGAATTTTAAATTAGTCATTGGGTGTGCAACGCCAATGACGGGGCTTGGAAAACCAATTTTTTTTGTACTCATGACATACATGGGGAAAAAGGAGCCGGGAAGGGCTCGGGTTGAGTTGCATGAGTGAGTCTCATCTCATTTCATGGCATGATATGCAAAGACTTCAACATTGAATAATATATTGTGGTTGAGATGTTGTTGGTGGTAAAATGTTGCATGAACATTCATATGCACTTAGGTAGGGGAATAGCTTCGGTAGGAAATACTCTACTGGGCGTGGCTCACCCTATACGAGAACACATTTCAGGTGCGGGATTTGTACCGGCAGAGGACTCTCATTCGGGACCTCCAAGATGAAGAAAATGTCGATTTGTGGCCTTTGACCATGAATTTTGTAAAACTTTTGAGAAAAACATATATTTTGGTATGTAAATATATGAAATTATTGTAATAGAACTTGTATGTATCAAGTCTTATATGAAAAACTATATTTTACATGTTAGGATTGTGAGAAGGTTTGGAATGAATTGGAAATGAAAAATAGGTGAAACAATCCCCTGTGAGTCTAGGATCATGGTGATATGCTCTAACCACTCCTCGGCTACTAGAGGGTCGGGCTATCCAGCAAATGTAGGAGGTCTTATACTCTGGAATACCTTCATCACGTAGGTATCCCTGATCTCGCCACCTGCAGTCCTGATCTCCTACACAACTCGAAAACACTTCTGTAAAATGGCCGTCATATCTCTAGCGCCAATGGTCTATTCCACCTCCTCTGTTGGGGCAGGTGCAGGAGCAGGAGTAACGACCTCCTCAACTGTGCTATGAGCAGGAGCAGCGGCTTGGGACCTACCACGCCGCGGTGGTGCTGTCGCTCTAGGCCTACCACGCCTAGGTACTACAGGTCTAGCAGGAGTCCTCTTTGGTGGCACGTGTCTACAAGTCCAAGAAAAAAATTAATACCTCTTTTCACACTAGACACTTCACAAGCAACAACCACAGTATGCCTTCACATACACCAAACAAGTTATTACACTTAACATACTTCTCACCAAAATTTTAAATCATATGTCACGACCTTATAGTGTTCAGCAACGTCCCATAGTCTCAAGATATTCGAACCTAGACTCTAATACCATGTTGTCACGTCCCGAATTTTCACAAACCTGGGGAGTGAGTGAAAAGGGAGAAGAAAAGTAAATGAAAGGTCATTAGATTGGATAAATTGATTTCTCATTCATTTCTCATGTTTAGCCTATTTCTTCAAAAGTTTCTAAACCCCTCCTTTTGACATTCTTCCCACCTATTTAAAAAGTATTTTAAACACTTAACAAATCTTTTAATTTTTCATAAAATTTTGACATAACCTCCTATATTTTTCAAACATTTTTCCCACCAAATGTTCACTATATTTCATATGCAAAAGTATATCATAACCCGCCCCTCACTCAGTGGCCATAATCCATGAAAATTAAACATACTTCATTTGTTTTCAATATACACATCTAGTTGTCTCAATATACACATATGATACTCATTACATAAAGATATCCTACATATCAATTGAGTTTACACCCTTACACTTTAAAATGACCCAAAGTCTATAATCCATTACTTTTTCAAATTGAAACATAAGTCATTTGGGTTTATGCCCATACATACAAAATATGCCCCAAGACCAAATATCCATTCAAGCCCATTTCCCCTCCTTACTTTAAGACTTCCTCAAGTCTTAAGTACTGGGAGCCTCATCTGCAATATGATATCCCACGAATGGGTTAGCTCAACTGCTGGTATGACAAAGTACGAATGCTAGGAACAAATTTAAGGCGTGGTATGTGCAAGTGTACATTTTAAAAGCTACAACCCCGTAATTCTCCAATACTATGCAATGTCAATATGCATGATACACCCATGTAACTCTATGTTACCCATGTCTCGCTTTACAGTTCGCCCTCGTCAACTCGCGAGTACTGTTATTGACCAAATTTTGTGTTTTTCACCATAGGATCTACACCCTCGTAATGCATAGCACCAAGTGCTCAATCCACACTATGTTCCAAGAATTCATGTATGCCAAGATACCTTGATTTTTTTCAATGTAAATTCTATGAAATATTTCATCAAACACCTTATCTACATGAATGTGAAACACCATTCAATGGATGAAATATATGATTAAGTGAGAATATAGTTGTTGAAATATATGACCATCCAAGAGAGTTGTGTTCGCTATATAGCTGAACCGATCAGTGATAATATAGCCCTTATTGAGAGGAACAACTTCTTAGAAGGAAGTCTTACAAGAATCTTGGCCTAGGAATGATTTTTGGTGGCTTGAAACCAGAAAAACCTAGGGTTTTTCTTTCTTTTTCCTCCAAGAGCGTGTACGGCCCCTTTTTTCAATCCAAAAATGTGATATTTTTACACTAAAGGGGTTGTATTTATAGAGGAGGGGAAACGTGCAAAAATGATTTTTTTGCCTTTGATGAATTTGGTACCCTATTACACTACAACTCATCCCGAAATGTCTCAATTCGATATTTTATTTTAACCAAAGTTCTTAGAATTATTTTAAATGAAAATTTTCAAAAAAAATAGAGTTTTGTTAGTGGCTGGGTTTGGCCGGTCCCACCTAGGCCTCTTGGGATACCATTTGTTTAATCTCAAATTCGCACAGTATGTGTATTTTAACATTCTAAGTATGTTTTTCTTATATGACATACTCAAATTATGTTCATAAACATGACTTATACTTAAATGATGCATATGTAGTGTTCTACCGGCAAATGGTATATGAATAGTGCTCTACCGGCAAACTGAAAAATTTATCCTCACTTTTCAAATCTGTACACTACAACCATGTCTTGTAATCTGTCATCCATTGGAACCCTCAACTTTTGAAATCTGTCATCAATTTGAACCCCTTCTTTAAGAATTTTCCACCATAATAGTTTTGCAATAGGAGACACAACCTGCTTCTAGATGAGTGCAGCAACAACTTGCTCCTTTAGTATACTCCTGAATCAGAAAGCCTCCAAACCAACTTCTTTTCCATTTCCAATTCTAATTTCAACACAATTCCAAAATAAATACACACACCAACACACACACGACACACATAGACTCATAAACACTTAGGTGGTGTTTTACACAAAGCTTTGCATATATTTCAGCTTATGGAAATCAAATATGAAAATTCATACCCATAATTGCAGATTCATAGACATACCCAAAATCAAAAATGCAAATTCAAACCAATAATTGTAGATTCATAGTCATACCCAAAATCAAACACACACACACACACATGAGATTGTTGCTTTGAATGGTTTGACTGAGGTGAGACACACAGACAAATTGATAGAGACACACACACACCCACCCACAAATCGACACATACACACACGGAGACAAAACACAGATCTAAGCTGTATATATTTAAATCTTTGTATATATATGCATATATATACACAGATCTACATATATATAGAGTTTTATATACATACATACACAACAAAAGAGAGATCGATAGAGGGTTTCTGTTCGTTTTCGTATGCAGAGCACCATCGGTTCGTAAAGAAGGCAGAGCACCATCGGTTCGTAAAGAAGGTAGATCACCATCACAACATGAAAAAGATCGACAAAGGGTTTTGGTTCGTCTTCATAGGCAGAGCACAATTGATTTGTCTTCACAGAGAGAGAGAGGACGAAATGAAAAAATACCAAAATCTCCAACTATTTATACTTCCATAAAAAATACACATCTTTTATTGTTAATAAGGATCGAATCTGAGACCTTATTAACATTCTTTAGCCGCCGAGTGCGTGTTTTGTGTTTGAATTGTTTCGTACAACACAATTTTTTTTTTCCATTTTTTTGACTTGCTTCCAAGAAAACTGTGATGAAACAAAAAATAACAATAATTATCAAACACATTTTTATTTTTATTTTTGATAAAAATTAAAAACAAGAACACAAGAGCCCAAAATACCAAACAGCCCCTCAATTCTCTCCCTGTTTCCCTCTTACGAGTGACTGAAGTGCCACATTAGCGACGGAGGGAAAGAGGAAATGTTCCCACCACCAAGTGAGGGTTACAGTAACGGCTATCACCATCACCAGCAGCAGCCACATGAAGGCGGCGGTGGTATGAGTCAACGATTTCGGAGAGGTAGTCGGAGCAAGTCACGTGACCACAGAGATGGGAATGGGAATACTAGGGTTTCTTATGGGCAGAATTTGGAGAATGAAAGGCCTCCATGTACGGATTTCGATATGGCCTACTTCCACTCTTATGCTCACGTGGGTATTCACGAAGAGATGATCAAGGTAATACTCTGGAAGTTATTTTTTTTTTGTTTGACTAAAATACTCTTGAAGTAATTTTGCTCTTGTGATCATGGACTTCTTTTCTGAGGCTTTTAGATTTAGTATGGCAGTGGTGGATGATCAATATTTGATGGGGCGTGCTTTAAAAAATTTAGTGTGCTTGGGCATTTTAGCTTTGTGGGTCATAATTTTGATGCATTTGACAGATGAGTTTGCATTTGTTTGTTTTGAAAATTCATTGCTGTTGGCTCACGAACTGTTCTTTTCATGTTGATCACCTTGTTCTTTTTCTCTAAAAGAAGTTTTCGTATTTGTTTTATTAGTAGAGGTTACTGTCAAAAGGACTCTGCTTTGGCGATTGTATGCTAACTGGTCCAGACAATTAATTAGTGAAAAAGCCCAACCAGCAGAAATATATGGAAAAATAGAAAATCAAGGAGAAATAGGAGTAATGACTCAAGGACTCTGGGATAAGCTTGTCTACGATGGTTTGGATGGCCAAAGACTGCATCGGATGCCATTGGTACATGACCGAAAAACTTGCTATACCAAATAAAGCATAATGTTGAAACATAAAATATGCGGCTAACCCTGAGAATTTTGTGATAATCAACTTTTGTTCTTACCATTCCTTCATCTTGGAGTTTTGGGCCCTTTGATTGAGATTAGTATATTCTGTTGTATGAATCACACATTTTGGGTTAGTCTCTTTGTTGAGTATTACAGTAACGTATCTAATTTCTTGCTTGCATTTATATTTTCATTTTCGCCCCCTTTAAAGTATACTGATTCCCCTTAAATGATGCAGGATCGTGTGCGCACTGAAACTTATAGGAATGCAATTTTCCAACATCAGAATTACATTGCAGGCAGAGTAAGACTACAATATATGTTAGGAAATGATCATTATTGTTACTGGTATTCAAAACATTTTATGCCATTTTTTGTAGCCATGTAAAATCCATTTACTTGCTTTTCCCTCTGCATCTCTCTATAATCCTGGGATGGGATTGAAATATGTTGTTCATGTTGAAATACTCGTGCATGTGCCTATGTAAAGATGGAATCGAAACTTGTTGCTCATGTTGATGTATTCATGCATATGCCTATATAAAGATACATTTGTATCGTAACATAACATATGGTCTTTAGTACCTGGTTCCTAGCTTTGGTGAACTTAAGTGATCTGCTTGCTTAGAGGAATTTGTTATTATATTTAGTTTTCCTCTTCAATATCTTTACTTTTATATATATTGTTTATTATGTGTAATCATACTTTCAGGTTGTGGTAGATGTTGGCTGTGGCACGGGCATTCTTTCCATATTTTGTGCTCAGGCTGGTGCAAAACGAGTAAGATATCTTTTATTTAATATTTTTTAAACTTCTCAATATACAGTCAGAAATATTAATGTTGGTTTGTTGGAGTTCAGCCAACGGAGAGCATTGTTAGTTTCACCATTTACTTTTGAAAGCATTCTAGAACACATAACATAATGTTATATGATATGAATTTTGTTTATAGCAGTGTCTAGTCTTTTTAGGAAGGATAATTGATTCTAAAGAAAATGCAATTCAAGAAATGATGAACTCCTATTATGTTGGTCAGATATTTGTACATCTTTCTTTATGTAGATGAGAAAGAGGGAATGCTGTGACAAGTTAACAATGAAATATTATATCATAAAAATGGTATTTTCTTGATCTTGAATGGTGGACTGGAATACTGCCACATTTACTATAGCAATTCTTTGTTTATTGTTAGGATAAAATTTTTTATTTTATGTTTATTATTTTACTGTTTAATTAGTATATTCATGATTGCCATTGTCGGGAGTAGTGGTAATGTTTTGGCTAGCAACCATAAGGTTGTGAGGTCATATTTGAGGGCAACCAGTTTGTACCAAATGTGATAAGCGATCCAACCAAGACTTGACGCATCCTCGATTAATGAGGACAAAAGGAATTAAAAATCTGATTACAAGCATCCACTTACCATTGTCGACATCAATTCTCCACCATTGCTTATTCTCTGCAGTTTGATGGATGCTTGTCAGCTCTGCTTAACCTTTTCCACCATTTTGTAGAATTTAGAAGCTGTCTCTGTGTTTGGAAGATGTCTAATTCTGCGAAAATGCCTTTGAGTTAGGAATGGAGGAAAACTAAGCATTAATTCTTTAACTGGGAATGGAAGAAAAATTAATCAAGTATTAATTCTTTAATTTTAATTCCATGCTTCCAAATACAACATTAGGCTATCTTTACATATCAAAACCTGGGCAAGCCTTATTAAGTAATTTCACTTCATTTCTCTCTCGTTATTTGTATTTTTCAGTTGGTCTTTGAATTTTTTTTTGACATTCATCTTGGTTTCTGTACCATATAAAACTTTCTTAGTTGCCTTCTCTAATCCTCTCTCTGGGTACTATCATGACCATGCTGTTCAAAATGCAAGTTCCTTTAGATATCTTTCTTTACTCTTTAGTCATATTGATACTATCCATTACGTATCGTCATAAGCTAAAAATTTACAAGCAATAAACAGTCTTGTCTTCTTACTTTTCAAAGTAACACTTAACTACATCCATTCATGCTACACTTTATAACTATCATTGTGTGGTTTTCTTTTGTATTTTTGTTTTTATTCTTAACTGGTGGTTATTGGTTCTTTTATTTGTCCTATTGATTACTTTTTGCTGAACTGCTGGTGTATTATTGTAGACTACTTTCTTTCCATTGTATATCCAGTCCTTGTATTTCTATACCTATTTATCCTGAAGAACATGATTTTCTAAATACACATGCCGTCAACATGTGAACAAGCAACTTTATGGACGCCTTTGCCATGTTCAAGTTTGCTGGTATGCTCTACCATTTGTGCAAGTTGAAGGCGCGAGGCGTGGTGTAGGCCTCATTGAGGTAGGCACGTGTTTGTAACATGCAAATATTTTTCTGTTAATGCAAAAAAGCAATAACGGAATCATGTGATCAATTAAATATTCAATGCACTGAATAAAATAATATGTATCACAATAACAAAAAAGACAAAACAAACAATCACAATTAACAAATATTTTGCTTCTATAAACTTGTATGCATATCTATGGATGGATGTTTTGCACTTCTAAGCTTGGTGGTTTTTTGTTTTTGTATTTTTTTATGGGGGAGTGGTTGGTTTATTGAGATGGGTTTGATTAATCATAAACCAAATTGGGTTGATTGATTAGAAATTGAATTACGTTGTTGATTATAATTTACTTGGGTTTGACTGAGGAGTGTGTTGCTTCAATTTATGGATCTGTTTGCGGAGTGGCATGGGTTGGGCTTGTTGCACAGTGTGTGCAAAGATGGTGATTGCAGACGATAGTGGAGGTTGGTGGAGAGGTTTGAGTCTTTGAGGATAGTTGGCTAAGATTGTGTAGTTTTTTTTTTTGGTAGTATGATTATGTAGTTGACCTAAGGGAATACAGGCATTTTACAAAATAATCTGTTATGACATCATCAGTTTTACCTTGTCAATAACGTCTATTGACGAACGGGGCTCTGAAATCTGAATGAAGCGATCATATAAATTAAAAGGGAGTCCAGTGAATTTTCAGATAAAATATAATAGGGGTCTTTTTGAAGATAGATTAATCTACGTGGGGTGTGTATGAAGTTTTTCCATATACTTAATCATTGTATTTGTTTGCATTTCCAAAACTCTTTGTCATAATGAACATGATTTTCCAAATACATATGCCATCAACATAGCAACAAGCAATTTTATGGACACCTTTGCCCTGTTCAAGTTTGCTGGCATGCTCTACCACCCATGCAAGTGAAGCGGCAAGGTGCACTAAAGCATGAAGGTCTACACGCAAGGCCAGTGCAGGCCTAATTGAAGTGACGCATGTGTCTGTGACATGCAAATATTTATTTGTTAATTAATGAGGAATCATGTGATCAGCTATGTTAAATGCAGGAAATAATCTATTATCACAAATCACAACTATAAAATACAAAAAATATAACATATAAGACAATACATGAGCAACTATATTGAAAATTCCAAATGGGCATATTGCCACACTAAACGTGCATCTTGTCATGCCGGGTCTTTTTATTACCTATGGCTTGGAATCTGTTTCACTATGAAGCAATTAAAAAATTGTAAGTCAAATGTAAACACTTTTAGTAGACAATTATGTATAAAGAAAGGATAAAAAATTCCCAGAGAAGAAAAAAAGAAATTGTAAACCAATAATCCAACCAACATCCGCATAAAGAATTTGTTTGGAAGTAATTTGAATGCAACTAAATTTTGCCAATTTCTTGCACTAACCAGACCCAGACGCCCCCTTTTTTTTGGTTAAGAAAAACAAACGTGTATTTCGGGGAAATATTACATTATTTAACTAAGACCTGGCATATTTGGAGAAAGGGTGCTATATTTCCCAAGTCAAATGCTAATTTCACTGTGATATGGTTTAATTGTACGAATATAAATGAAAAGCATATATAGGTGAACAAGGAAGAATAAAATGGAAAAAAGGTGAAAAGAAGATAGGAAGGAAAAAAAAGAACAAAAGAAGGTGGGAAGAAGTACCATATGGGTTGATTGCACCTAAGTTCATTCTTATACGATCGTAGTTTAAACTGGGCGACTATGAAAGGGCAAAAAAGTTGGACTAAACTGGTTTTCTTGCCATCCATAAGAATTCAGCTAATATTGGTAACACCATGTCTTAGGCCATCTAGCTCTTTTTTGGCAAAGCATTGGTTAACGCTTGCTTCCATTTTTTGCCAGTAATGTAGGCGATTAAACATGCTTGTTACGTCAAGGTTGCTTGCACTTCGACTAGTTAAAGTATTATGATGGCTTGGCATAAGATTGCTGAGAATAGTGATAGCCACTGCCTAGGTGACAGCATAAAGTGCATTTTTCACAACCTCTTTTTGGCTGGGGCCTCATTCAGTGCGACAGAGGAACTTGAGTATTTTTCAGATTCGTCTTTGAGGACAACTATTTTCTTTGATGTGATTGATCAGTTTACTTTACTCTTTAGTTTTTTTTACTATAAATTTTGTCCACTATCAGTCAGACATTGTATTGTTGTTGAAACCATTGTCTTTCTAAAAATGTTGATCAGGTATATGCCGTGGATGCCAGTGACATTGCGGCGCAGGTACTCTGTTGCATTAATTTTTGATATCGTTGGCCAAAACATGCTGCATTTTATTACCCTCCCGCAATATGCCTGTTCTCGAAACCTCAATGTTTATTGAAAGAATACCTTTGTATGCCAGAGATCTAGTTGCTGCTTTTTATGGATTTTTTTCATGTACCACTGGTGACAATTTTTTTTTTTTTGGGTGCTGGAGGAATAGGGAGTCTGGAATGCAAAATAAGCATTGTACCCAAATGTCCAATTTTAGCAAAGATTTTTCTTGTCCTGTCATGTTCAGCCTGGTTACATAGTCTTGGCTGTAGGAAACAGGTTGAGGTGTTCAAAGTCAAGGTTAAGCTTAGCACGGACTTACAAAAGATATCTATTCCTTCCTTCTTCCTTTTAGAATCTGTTTCTGGATCACTTTGATCATCAATAGGGTTGTGAGCTATGAGAAAATAGACCACTACACTCGGATTATTTGCCGAAATGGGCCTGCAGTGAAGATCTGGCGTTGAGGCTTCTGTTCATCTTGAAGAAGAGGTAAACCCATTGCATGAAGAAGAGAGGTGACCACCTCCTAAGGGTCCACCCAAGGAGCACCAAATGCTAAGCGCAGGGAACAACAAATTACGGGGAATTTTGGAGATCTCAAATGCAATTATGAGAAGGGTGTGAAGATAAAATTGCGTGATTTTAATGGCAGATTGCATTAGGAGTGTTGATGGAACATGACTTTGACAATTTGACCAAACAGTTGGCATGCAAATAAGGATCAAAATATCGTTTCGAGTTGAAACGGCTGAAACGTTTTCATTTTCAAGGCGACCGAAACGAATCATTGATTGAATCGAAATTCCAGTGCCTTGAGATGTTTCGAGGTATTTCAGAATGTTTTGAGTTCTCTTAAGATGTTTTAGTATGTTTCCACCAATGTTTTAGAATATTTCAAGATGTTTAGATATGTTTAGACTAATATTTTGAAATATTTTAAAAAGAAATTCCTAAATTTTTTATTTGTTTCTATTATGTATGTAATCGAAATGTTTTTGAAACATTTTTGAAACGTTTCCGTTTCTTAGGTGACTGAAACAATGTGCTGAAATGATTATTTGATCCTTGCATGCAAATAAAGTGCTAAAGTCCATAAATAAGCAAACACTTCCTCCATTGATTTCAATCTAATTGATATATTTGATAAATAACACCAGTTGTACAACCGTGTTACATGTGGTTTGTGGACATACCAAACTTCCGCGGTCTTAGGACTTTCATCAAACAGGTATGACCACTAATTTTGGTAATGCCATGTCTTAGGCCATCTTGTTTTCTTTTCTACTGGATAGAATAAGGTGGGAAAAGAAGATAGAAAGGAGAAGAAGAAAAGGGATAGCTACAAAAACAATTGATAGAATTAGGGGTGGGCATCGACTCTGACTCTGACTCCGACTCCGACGGNTGTACCCAAATGTCCAATTTTAGCAAAGATTTTTCTTGTCCTGTCATGTTCAGCCTGGTTACATAGTCTTGGCTGTAGGAAACAGGTTGAGGTGTTCAAAGTCAAGGTTAAGCTTAGCACGGACTTACAAAAGATATCTATTCCTTCCTTCTTCCTTTTAGAATCTGTTTCTGGATCACTTTGATCATCAATAGGGTTGTGAGCTATGAGAAAATAGACCACTACACTCGGATTATTTGCCGAAATGGGCCTGCAGTGAAGATCTGGCGTTGAGGCTTCTGTTCATCTTGAAGAAGAGGTAAACCCATTGCATGAAGAAGAGAGGTGACCACCTCCTAAGGGTCCACCCAAGGAGCACCAAATGCTAAGCGCAGGGAACAACAAATTACGGGGAATTTTGGAGATCTCAAATGCAATTATGAGAAGGGTGTGAAGATAAAATTGCGTGATTTTAATGGCAGATTGCATTAGGAGTGTTGATGGAACATGACTTTGACAATTTGACCAAACAGTTGGCATGCAAATAAGGATCAAAATATCGTTTCGAGTTGAAACGGCTGAAACGTTTTCATTTTCAAGGCGACCGAAACGAATCATTGATTGAATCGAAATTCCAGTGCCTTGAGATGTTTCGAGGTATTTCAGAATGTTTTGAGTTCTCTTAAGATGTTTTAGTATGTTTCCACCAATGTTTTAGAATATTTCAAGATGTTTAGATATGTTTAGACTAATATTTTGAAATATTTTAAAAAGAAATTCCTAAATTTTTTATTTGTTTCTATTATGTATGTAATCGAAATGTTTTTGAAACATTTTTGAAACGTTTCCGTTTCTTAGGTGACTGAAACAATGTGCTGAAATGATTATTTGATCCTTGCATGCAAATAAAGTGCTAAAGTCCATAAATAAGCAAACACTTCCTCCATTGATTTCAATCTAATTGATATATTTGATAAATAACACCAGTTGTACAACCGTGTTACATGTGGTTTGTGGACATACCAAACTTCCGCGGTCTTAGGACTTTCATCAAACAGGTATGACCACTAATTTTGGTAATGCCATGTCTTAGGCCATCTTGTTTTCTTTTCTACTGGATAGAATAAGGTGGGAAAAGAAGATAGAAAGGAGAAGAAGAAAAGGGATAGCTACAAAAACAATTGATAGAATTAGGGGTGGGCATCGACTCTGACTCTGACTCCGACTCCGACGGCATCGGAATCATGAATTTTGACTTCCGACTCTGACTCTAGTTGGAATGATTTTTTGCCACCAACTCTGACATACAATGCCTCCACCTCTGCTCCGATTTTGATTGGCGGAGTCGGATCGGAGTTTTCAGAGTTTCCCAATAAAAAAGTTTAGATTTTTCCCCAAAAATTCTAGATTTGCACATAGATTAATCAATTCAAAACCACCCAAATCGAATCGAAAGTTTAGAATAGAAATAAATTTCCCCAAATTTAATCACTAGATTGAAGCTTACCTCATTAAGATTAAAGGTGCTAACTGTGGAAGTAGGTAGTGGATCGAAGGTGCTAACAGTGGAGATCGATGGCAAGTAGTGGATCGAACTTTGATTTTAAGTGAACACCCATCTCTAGTGAAGTCAGGTGACCGTCGGTGGATCGAAGGCTTTAAAGCTGCCAGCAGTGGGGAGAGAGAGGGAGAAAGAGAGGGGCTGGAGGTGTGATCTGGTGGTGTGATGGAGACCACGGTGGTGATGGAGGTATGGTTCAAAAGGATTTTGAACAGTGTAAAGGCTAATGGCTAAAGGGTTTTGAACTTTTGATATAATAATATATATATTTAAAATAAAATTATTTTTAAAAATTCAGAGTTAGAGTTGGATAATTTCAGAATGCATTTTGGGCACCGACTAAGGTCTCTCCATGCTGTATGTGGAACTGGCAATGGTATGTACAACCCAATGTTTTGTTTCCTAGTCTTTGCTAATTGACAAGTGCGACACTGTGGCATTATCCTAATAATGTCACGCTTCAAAGTGGGCCAATAAAACCTATATTCAACAAGTGTAAGTGTCTTATCCCTACCAAAATGGCCAGTTAGATCTCCCGCATGTAATTCCCAAATCAGGAAATTCCTAAGTGAAGTACGGGGAATACATAAACGTGACCTTCTAAACAAATAACCATCTCTAAGGAGGAAGTCAATGCACTCATGATGGTTACTAGCCCGAACATTTTGAAAAGTGATACCAAAGTCAGGACAAGAGGTATACTCATCTCTAATCCTGTCAGAGCCGATCACATGGACATTCGTAGTTTGTAAAACAACAATTACACGGCTAAGAGCATCTGTAGGCTTGTTTTCAATATCCGCTCGGTGGTGAAGAGCAAAAGTATACTCCTGAAGGAACTCAACTCACCTAACGTGTCTAACATTTAATTTTCTCTGGGAATGAAGGTATTTCAATGCCTGATGATCAGAATATAACACAAACTCAGATGACAATAGATAATACCTCCAATGGCGGAGAACTTGTACTACAACGTAGAACTCTTTGTCATATGTAGAGTATCGTTGTTTAGTTTCATTGAGTTTTTTGCTGAAGTAAGCAATAGGATGACTCTCTTCACTCAAAACTCCACCTATCCCTATACCAGATGCATCACATGCAACCTCAAACACCTTAGAAAAATCTAGTTGTCGAAGGACGGGTGCCTCTGTCATCTCGTGCTTAACTTCTTGAAAGGCTCTTGTTGCAACAAGAGTCTATTGAAATTCCCTTTTTTTCATGCATTTTGTGATAGGAGCCATAATGACAACTAAGTCCCCGAAAAGTAAAATGACAAGTAACTTCTAATCTCTACGTCTACGCTTACTACTCATAAAGTTCATCTTGATTTTTAAAGCGATTTTTCATTCATCTTCTGGTCTAATTGGGATTTGATGATAATTACTGCGCAAATCTATTTTGGAGAACCAAAGTACATCGGTTAAAAAGTCAAGCATATCTTCAAGTCTCGGTATAGGAAATCGATACTTGACTATAATTTTGTTAATAACATGGCTATTAACACACATTCTCCAAGAGCCACCTTTCTTTGGGGTTAACAAAGCAGGGACAACACATGAAGTAAGATTATGACGAATAGACCCCTTTTGCAAAAGTCCATCTACTTGCCTTTGGAGTTCAGCACGCTCAGTGGAATTCATACGATAATGGGGAATGTTAGGCAACTGAGATCCTGGAACTAAATCCATAGCATGCTGAACATCTCTCATTGGTGGCAACTCATTGGGTAGTTCCTCGGGGATTACATCGTGGAACTCTCTCAATAGACTATCAACCTTAGGCAAAAGATCATCCTTAGATTACAAAGGACTCTGAAAAACTTCTTTGACAACTAGAGCTACCACTATACTAGACTCTTGTCTCTCTTTTTCAAATTCCCTATTGGTCAAGATGTGAAGTTTTCCAGGTTTTAAGTTTTTCCCTTATGCTTAAAAACATAGGTATTTTTCCTCCCATAGTTTGTCAAATCTAGATCAAAAAGCCACGGGCGACCTAACAAGACATGAGCGACATCCATGGGTAAGACATCATACCATATATGAT